TTATTTGCTCTTCAGGAAATGAAAAGGGAGAAAAAGAAAAAAAAAAAAAAAGGATAGCAAGCTTTTGCAACCTATTGAATTGACGGGATTGGGAAAGTCAAAGTAAGATCCTTTCTGTTCTACATGTTTTTGTCTTCCCTTGTATTATCTGTTCCATTGTTTGTAATCTGAATTTATTCCTTTTTCATGATTGATTTAGTTTAAATTTGATATTTTGATTTTTTAGATCGTCTGAGTTTATCAAGTTGTAGTGTTATTGACCAAGAGCTCGAGCTCCACCTTTTGAAGCTTGGCTGGAATCAAATCAAAGCTTGACTTGTTTATAGGAAGATGTGTTGAATAACGATTGGATGATTTCTAGTGTACCTAAAGGATTTGTTGGATTTAGTAGGATCTTGTTGGAACATATTGAAAAGTAGGCTTAATTATTTTATTGTTCTATGCCCCGTAGCTTGAGATTGAATTTTCTTCACTTATCAACTTCTTGGAGGTTAACTTAAATTTTTCAGATGATTGGACAATGTGGCAACTTTTTTATGTCAGGCTTTCCAATATGTCGTGATTAGTATGGGGAAATGGAAGGGAGGATATTAATGTTTTTAGTTGATGGGATTTGTGTTTCTTTCTAAGCTTGATTAATCATTTCAAAACTCTTAAGAGAAAAGTGGTTTATGGACTCTCATGGAACAAATAACTTGATATTCATATACTGCTAGCCTGCCATCTTAATATTAACTTGCCATGTGGTTTACCTACAGCATGGTGGCTGCACAAAAGCCTTTTTTGCTTGTAAGAATACCAATACCAATCATCATTTTAGTGTTAATGCTGATGCTTTTGAAGAGGCATTGGGCAGGTAGGTGCTGTTTAATTGGTATGTTCTGAATTTGGGCAATGCTGTTGTAAGGTCTGAGAGTTTGGATAGTTTTCCTGATTTACACTTTAGATTTGCACAGTTTTTTATTGAACCATTGATGCCAGCTGAAGCAACCAAGAAGAAAATCAAAGCAGTGGATTCTGGTTTGCTATTTTTGGATTTAGTTTAATTCAGTAGTTCTCACTATGTTGAACCAAAATTAACTGGTGCTTATCCTTTTCTCTCCCTAGAGTACGAGAAGAACTTACTTTCTGATGCTTATAGAATGAGCCAGGGATCAGATATATTGCTTTCAACTCTCTTTTTGTCAACTGAGTAACTTCAGGCTTTTGAATATTCTAAATTCAGATGCTAACTTTGTTATTATTGTTTCTTTTAGGACAACTAGATCATACTCAGATTAGAGGACTTTCCTCTCTGTTGTTTTGTTTTATTTTACTTGTTTAACATTTTTTAAGCACAATGCATAACAATAAAGTATCAATGTAAGGTTATCGAGTTTCAGCATTTTTCATGCAAAATAGTCAGTCTCTCATGGTTAAATGTCTGGAATTTCAAAGATGACCACCTTATTTTTGTTTGCATGCATGCACTTTGTACATGATAATAAAAATTCCTGTTTTGCGAGTGCTCTATGAAGTTTTTGGAATAATTTTCTCAAATTCATTGTCATGAATTTAAAAAATTCCGCATTTTTTCTTGGTTCCACTTGTGTCTTGATACCACAGTTATTCTTGTTGCCACATTTTGCACATGATTTTTTGAAGCTACTGCTTGTAGACTAGATAGGGAATTGATTCCTCAAAGTGGTAGAGAGATGTGAATTTATGAGAGTAGATGTTCTTTAATTGCATTTTGATACTTGAGGATGCTGTAGTATACCTTCAAACGTGATCTTGAAAATAGCATCTGCCTGCATATTAATTCTATGAGATAGGAACAGCTATCGGCAATCACCACAGAAACGAAGATTCTTGATTACTCAAATAAGTGAGCAAGCTGTAGTAGCCATGAGACCATGAACAACAGCAAGCCTTTCACAATGACCAAGAAGAGCTTCTTCCTTTCCTTCCTGGTCTATATCATGCAATACGAATCTTGTCTCTGGAATATAACCAAATTCTTTCATTTGTTCCTTCAAACATCTTAGCAAGATTTTATCACTCTCAGGGTGAGATCTATCCCCTGCCCTTAACTTCCAGAAGATTGTGACTGGATAACTTCTTTTTCTTTATCTCTGCAAGATCAGAGGCTTTCACTGGTATAAGACCTGCCTTTGACCGTTCACTCAAGTGAGAGGGATCTAGCTGCTCAACAAGCTCAGCACAACAATCCCCTAGCCCAAGTGTCCATGAACTCCGCAGAGATTCATCAAAGTTTCCCAAACATCATCACTAGGCTCAAATGGTATCTCTTCAATGAATTCCAAAGCTTTGAAGGGATGGGTATTAAAAAGGATTGGCTGAGTTTGGGTTTTGGTGTGGACTTGGGGGATGGCGAGAAGGTTAAGTTCTGGACTGATGTGTGGGTAGAAGGGTATGCTCTATCTAACAAATTCTCTCGTTTATTCCTGCTAGCTACAGATCAAAATTGCAGCGTCAAAGACATGGGATCCTGGTCGAAGGATTGCTGGCAATGGAAATTCTCCTGGAAACGCCCACTTCGTTCATGGGAGGAGGACGTTGAAAGAGAGTTGGTTAAGATGCTGAAATTAAGAGCTCCATCACAGAACAAGGAAGATCGATGGCAATGGCACCTGGAAACTTTAGGGACTTACACAACAAAATCAGCTTACTCATGGATCCTTAAGGGAGAACCAAAGCCAGCAACTGACTTCATAAGGGTGTGGAAAGCCTCCATTCCACCTAAAGTAAGTGCATTTTGCTGGCAACTGCTTCACAAGAAACTCCCTACAAAAGATAACCTTTCAATCCGAGGAATTTGCAATGCAAACTCTAATTTAAATTGCTGCTGGTGTGATTCATCAATTGAGACGCCCAATCATATTTTTGCTCAATGCAATGTGGCTTTTAGATTATGGATGAAATGCTACAAGTGGTGGGGCGTGCAATATGTACTGGATAATTCATGTTCAATGCTTTTTGAGCAACATAAATGGCTTGGAGGTCCGAAACTACTTGATAGGGGATGGAACATTATCTGGTTCGCAGTATTATGGACACTGTGGCTGGGTAGGAACGAAAAGATTTTCCAGATGAAGGAGACAAAGCTCGACAGATTCTTTGAGCTAGTTCAGATTCGATCTTTCTTCTGGGTAACGAACATTCAAGGTATGGAAGGGTTCTCTTTATCTGATTGGTGTGAGAATCCAACCAAATGTCTTAAGAATAACCCCGTCCGAAAAGATAGTGCTTGAACTGGTCTTTTTGTTTTAACTTGTCTTCTTGGAAAGTTGGTTTTATTTTCTTTTTTGGGTGTTCTACCCTCGCTGCTTTAGTGTTGCTGGTTTTTTAAGCAACAAGTTGGTTTTTGTATACGACGGGTTTGAGTACTCCTTGTACTCATTGAATAAATATATTAATATTCTTTTGCCTTTTAAAAAAAAAATCCTGTACTACCCAGCATTTCAACCACACTTACATAGTGCTCAATGGATGGGATAATACCATAATCCTTGCTCATGGATTCAAAGTGTAGCATTCCCTCATTAATATCACCCAATATACTACAAGCAAAAAAGACTCCAATGTACATTTGACCAACAGGTTTTAACCCTGCTTTCTTAAACTGGGTAAATAAATCAAGGGCATCTTCGCCAAGACCATTCTTAGCAAGCCATGTTATCATGGTGTCCTAGGAAGTTAAATTGCGACTTGGCATTTTGTCAAAAACTTCAAATGCATCATTCATAGAATCACATTTTGAGTACATACCCAAAATCTTGTTGTAGGTGCTCACCTTTAAAGGAGATAATGTTCTAAGGACATGCTCATGAATGGTTCTTTTTTCTTTTAAAGCCTTTTCCTCCCCATTAACCCCAGCATTCGAGACAAATCCACTTGAAAACCCTGGTTTTCTAACATTTCTAAAACCTCAACAGCTTTCTCAACATTAACCTCCTTGCAAAATCCATCTAACACCTCAAGGGAGACATCATTTGCTCTACTTTCAGGATCAGGAACCTCAGGATTAGGGGTAGGTGACAATTGAGAAATCACCATCTTACTATGAATCTTGTCTGGCTTCTGCAAATAATGTGGAGCATTTGGATTCTGCTGGTGCTGATACATTCCAGCATCCCCTGTGGAAAGATAATTTTGGTTTTGCTGAAAATGCCAATTGTTTTGCGCATAATTTTTATCTAGGCTTCCCTGAGTTTCTGGAAATCTTTCTGAACTAAACCCACTCGCATTCTGTCTCACTGCCATAAGCCTCTCCCCATAAGAGCTGTATTGATGCTGTATGGTCCTGTTACCAAAATATTGAGTACCACGTTAATTCTGAGAATGACCCGCATATCCATCAATATTTTCATTCTGCAATTGAGTGCATTTGAGACATAAGACTCTATATTTTGAAAGTTTAGGCATTAAAATTATTAATAAAATGCACCAGATCATAATCAGTCACAAAGGTTTCTAAGTACAAAATAATGCCCTCTTAGTAAACTTCAGTAGCTGGGAACCACAAGGGTAATGTCTAGAGGGAAAATCGTGATAAAATGACTCAAAATGAAGAGATAAAATAAATTGGTTTGACAATTTTGAAAATTGTGAAACTTCGGGGAAAAAAATAAATAAATAAGTGTATTCTTGAATGGAAAAACATCTAAAGTGTTCAAAATGCAATATTGCTGGCTGTTTTCAGAATATAGACATGACGGACAAAATTAAATTTATGAAAAACAAAAAAGTTGAACTGGAGAAGAACAACAATTATAAGGCAAGAAAGATCCACTCAACTTGTAAAATTATTTTTTTTCTCAGACTTTACACAAACCATAAGATGTCTTAAGTAACAAATATTGCCAATATCATTATCCCAAAAAGAGCAAAACAGTAACACCAAATTATCTAGCGCTAAAGAGTTAGGGGGGGCAAATGCCCTAAAATTCAATAGCCATTCATGGTCATCCAATAGCACCTAAACACGGCACAAAAGTAATCCACAAACCATGTAATTAGTCAGTGAAGACTTCCCAGCATTCGGAGCACTGATTATCCCAACGGAGAGAGACTTATGGTTCTCCACCCCAAAGAGGATTCTATCTCTGTCATCCCAGCGGGTTTCTTGGGAGGCACTTTTTGAATCAAAGTTGGGGATGGCAAATTCAGCACCACCAAAGACGGAGTCACTTTTGCTGGTTTCTGCGGTGGGGCTTTGATTTTGTTGTTGCGTTTGTGCCAAGAAGAAGCAAAACAGAGGAACTGGATTGAGATGGAGTATCTGAGGTTGGGGAGGGAGGACCCTTACTGTTCTCAAAGATTTCATCTTGGTGTTGGTTCTATGCAAAAAGCATGGAAAGAAACGATTAGGGATACAAAGTTGAGATTTGGATGAGTTATGGGGTATTCCTGAAGAGGGAAGAAACAATAAATCAACTACCCAACATCATGAACAAATGCAGCATCAGATAGTCGCTCATTCACAGAATTAAGCAAGAACTGAAGTAAATATTAATGAAAATTATCTGTAGGATCAGACAAGAGGTTAGGAAATCATTATGTATTCCCTCAAACAACCCACAGAGCAGCAATCTCTGAAGAAATCAATTACATGATCCAACCAATTTTAAATTTGAGAGAAACAAAAGAAAAATCTCGAATTCGAAGCTCTGTGATCCTTCCGGCGGCTGCCTCAATCCGAACAAGATGGTTGCTGGATTTTTGGGAGGGCCTCAAAAATCCCTTGCTCTCCTTCTTTCACTGATTCCCGGCAGCTGAAGTAATGGTGTTCGCTCTATGCGAAAAAATTATTTTCACTGCGAGAAGAAGAAGCCGAGGGTGTTTCAGAGGGCATGGGGTTTTGGGGTTTAGCCTGTGTACGTGTTTCGTTTGGGGAAGTTTCCCGGTTAAAACCCCGATTCAGTCCCTCAACTTTCATTTTTGAACTAAAATTACCCTCAAACTTCAAAAAGTACTAAAAAAATCCTTGAATTTCAATTTTTGGAACCAATTTTGTCCTTCCGTCGATGGAAGTGCCAGATGGCACGTTAAGTTGCCATGAAATCAATTCTCGTTGAATTCTTTAATTACATGGGAAATAATTTAATTCACTTTAGTAATTTTATTGTCCACGTCATTTTAATTAATTTATATATTAAAAAATTTTAAATTCCTTAAATATCCCCATCTTCATCTTCCAACCCCTTTTTCTCCGTTCTCGTCTCCCTCTATCCTCAGATGCCTCTTCATCTTGCAACCCAATCAGCACCTATCATTCCTCATTGCTCCAGTCATCCTTTATCACTCCAATCACCATCTCCTTCTTCCCCAAACCTCCTCTCTAATGGAACCCAAATTTGGTTCCTCGCACAATAATAATGGCCAATTCAAAAAATCAATTACACTGCAAACTTATATCAGATTTGTGAAGATTCAACAAATCAAACTTATACCAAACCTGTAAAAGAAAAGGAAAATGCAAAAAACACAACATCCCTCTTGAAATTCAAGCAAGCAGAAGCCACACAAAACTCCAAATCCTATATCAAGATAGCCAAACATGACTGCAGCCAACAAAGAAACAAAAGAACAAAGAAACAGAAGAAAAAACCCAGGCGCTTGGTTCGAGTCGGGTTGAACCCGCGCCTGGGTTCGAGTCAAACTCGCGCCTGGGTTCGAGTCAAACCCGCTTGGGTTCCATCGAACCCAGGCACTGGGTTCGAAAGAACCCAGAGCGCCTTGGTTTGAGGAACCCGCGCCTAGGTTCGAACATGAACCTAGGGCCCACCGGTTCCATTAAACCCAGGTGCTGGGTTCGAAGGAACCTAGGGCACCTGGGTTTGAGGAACCCACGCTTGGATTCGAGTCAAACCTACTTGGGTTCCATCGAACCCAGGCGCTAGGTTCGAAAGAACCCAGGGTGCCTAGGTTTGAGGAACCTGCACTTGGGTTCGAACACAAACCCAGGCGCCCTGGGTTCCTTCGAACCCAGCGCCTAGGTTCGATGGAACCCAGGGCTTGGGTTTGAGGAACCTAGGCGTCCTGGGTTCCTTCGAACCCAGTAGGCAAGGGAAGGAGAAAAGGGAGGAAGTAGAAAAGGAAAGAGAAGGAAAAAAAGAAAAAAAAAAAAAAGAAAGGAAAGAAAATTTTATTTGATAATTATTTATTAAATTATATTTATTTACCACATCATAATATTTTATAATTAAAAATATTATATCACTTATTTTATTTCCACGTAATATTTAATATTAATAGAAATTGAATTTCTTAACGGAAAATTTTGCCACATCAGCACTTAACTGACAGAAGGGCGAAATTGGTCCCAAAAATTGAAGTTCAAGGATTTTTTTAGTATTTTTTGAAGTTTGAGGGTAATTTTAGTCCAAAAATAAAAGTTGAGGGACTGAATTGGGGTTTAAACCAAGTTTCCCCCGGCCGGGCCCCCCTTGGGAAAGTGACTAAATTTAAATATTTAGTGTATTAACTATTTACTTCTTATAACTTTGGTATAGAAAGTTTATTCTCTCCCAAATTAGTCTTAAAACTTCTAAAATTGTACAAAATGGTTTGATCGTCGAAGTCCCACATGATTTTCTTAACAAAAGAGATTGCAGGACACCCTGATCTATGGTCGATAAAAACGGTGTTGCTTGTCACCCATTCAATTAAGATTTTAAGACTCTTAATTCCATTCTTTAAAAATTATAGTTGCTCAAAAAAAAAAAAAAAAAAAAAAAAAACAAGACACAACATGGACGTCAAGTAATCTAAGAAAATTACAGTTCAACATGTAATCAACACAAAGACTTTCCCCTTCTTTTTTCTTTTCTTTTTTCCCTTTTTTTTGGAATAAGGGAAAACTTTCCTTAGCATTCCTCACTTAAGCTTTGAAAATGCCCTTTTAGTCTTAAATCACCTTAGTTGCAAGGTCTTTATGTGGTGCTAAATAGGTGCTAGTCTAAATTTTCGTTAGAATGTAACAATTGTAATTAAGACATTCCCCTAAAAAAAAACACAACAACAACAACTAAGACATGGTAACCAACTAAAATACATAGTTTTGTATGATTTATCTATTAAAAACAACTGGGAAAAATATAAAAATTGATAAAAATCAAACAAACCAAACACAATGTAATGATTCTCACACATTTTGTGGCTAATATATAATTGTCCAAACTCTTAAAACATAATTTTTTTTTTATTAGTTTCCTCTTTGAAAATATGTTTCACAGGTCGAGCTAAACTTTTATTATGCAATTTGATTTATAAATTTATTAAAATTCTTTTAATAAAATTATTTTGTATATTATTTTATAAAAGGTATTTTAATAAATTTAAAAACCAACAGCAGATTGGTTTTTTTTATTATTATGTAATTTTATTTTACACGTGGTCATGTGCTATGCAAAGGATGAATCCTTTTTGTTTCTAAATCCTTCGCTTGTTCTTTGATGCCTTGTCTGATTTCGGTTCCTTTCTTTCATTGTCAGGAAAGCACAAGAGGCAAAGGCAACCAATGTTAGGTGTCTTACGCTAGCCTTCTAAAACTTAGCACATATTAGGGGTGTCAACAGGAATGGAAGGACTCAACTACTGCTGGGCAACTTAATTATACAAGTAAGATTTCTTGTTATTTAAAACTATGATATGGGATCATGATCAAATGTTCAAACTTCTATATTATCAATTAGTTAATTCTCTAAAACAGTTTTAAGACAAAGTAGGCTAACAAGAATTAGGAGAACAGAAGTTACTGTTGTGCAAGTGATTCTCCAAATCAATCTTTTTTTTATGCTTTTCCCACATATACAGCTGGTTAGATTCTTAGGTACTTTACTTGATACGGTGTCCAATTTTACTTTCAGTCAATTATATTCATTTCCATTAACTTTATACATGTTTATTCTTGACAAAATGATTGGTACATCTCCAATGCAACACATTTTTTCTTATTTATCCGATTTATTCATTAAAATATAATATAAGTATTGTTGATTTATTTGGTTCTTGCTGCATAAGTTTGTATTTAATTTCAAGGTAGGATAAGATTTGCAAATCACTTGGGTTGTATAAGATATGGCGGAGGACGAGTCAAAATCTCTGGAGTATACACCGACGTGGGTGGTTGCTGTTGTCTGCTTTGTAATTGTTCTCATATCTCTTATTGTTGCTCGCGTTCTTCGCCATCTTGGGAAGGTATCAGTTGCCCTTGACCTACCTTGAATTAAGATTTGTCATCTCATTTTAATTCCAAAGAGTTTTTGTGATTCTAAGAGGGAGGACAAACCAAAGTAACAGGACTGCTGCCAGTTCTGTGGCAAAGCATTATTTATCCAGATCAAAAAATTTTTTTTTCTTTCCCCTCAAATAGAAAGACATCGGTTAGTATACTTTTCTGTTTAACATATTGCACAAATATTCATTAAAAAATCATTATTTTTTCATCGAGACAAGCTTAAAAGATGTAGCCATGTATATAATATGCAGGAACATGTTGCATTTGGTGTATTTATACTATATTTTAATAACTGAACAAGAGAGGTATCTAAAGGTATGTCAAATAGGAAGATATATGAATAATATTACCAATTTTGTTCAGAATCAACTGGAACCAATTTCTACTGGCGCATAAGTAGATCATTTTTATTGTGAATGATGGACTTCTACAGATTGGAGTCGGTTGCGCTAATTGTTTTTCCTGCAGAACCAAATCTTAAGCTGTCTTCCGTGTTTTTGTCTTGGCAATTCAGTGGTTGGAGCATAAGAAGCAAGATGCACTCTTTGAAGCCTTGCAAAAATTAAAAGAAGGTTTGCTAACTCTCTCTCTCTCTTTATTAGTAGCGTGCTTTAGACTATCACAGTACAATGTTAAGGTGGCTCGTCACTCTAAGTAATTAATCTGTGTGTTTAACATGCATAAATTTGTCTTTGAATTTTGTGAATGTGGATGCCATTTTTATTAGGTCCTATTACCCAGTTATCCATACTGTCCATGCAACTGTGCCTTATATCTTTGTTAGAATGACAAAAAAAGAAGCTTTGTGTATAATTTACCTTATGAGTAGTCTTACATCATGTCTAATTTTTGTGAGTTATCTGTTATGGTAACCACTGTGTTCCTGATGCTTACAGAATTGATGCTATTAGGATTCATTTCCCTCCTATTAACCGTCTTACAAAGTGCTCTGGTTCGAATGTGTGTCCCACCTTATCTCATATCTCATATGCTTCCCTGCAAGAGGCATACTCAGTCCAATTATCATCTTCCTCAAGCTATAAATAATACAAGGCGTCTACTTTCTGAAGACGGTAGTTTGCAACATTGTGCCAAAGAGGTATGTAGTTAGGCTTTAACTTCAACTCAGTTGTCTATTTTTGAATATACAGTTGATATTCTAGGTAGATATGGCTTGCACGTTAGTTTCAATTTTCGAGGAATCACCACCCATATTTTATTCGTATTCAGCTGTTCTTTTAACTTTTTAACGAAAAAATAACTAATACAGAATAGCATGCTCATCCAAAGGAAGTGGCAGTTGTTTCTGTGTGCATTAGTTGCTTCTAGTAGAATATTTCTTGGGAGGATTGTATAATGTCTCGCAAAGTTGGACCATGTACTTGTAGTTACCCTTCTCGATATAGGTTTCTAATTGATGGAGTGTGTGCTAAAGCATTGATGAAAAGAATGGTAAGAAGAGGAAGGAAAATGATGATGTGAAGGCATTCAAATGCTCAACTCAAATACAAATTCACAGAAAATCTCAAATCAACATGAATGAATATAAAGCTAGAACTCATTCCAATGTATAGATTCAAACAACAACAGTTGCTTTTTGAATGAAAAAATGATCCAATGGTGCTCCTGTTATTTTGGTGCTAATGGTTGCTTTTTGTGCCTTTCTTTTTCCATCCCCAGGGGAAGGTCCCATTATTATCATTGGAAGCATTGCACCAGCTGCACATATTTGTCTTTGTGTTGGCTGTTGTTCATGTGATATTCTGTGCCACTACAATGGTTCTTGGAGGAGCAAGAGTAATTTACTGCACTACAGTACAGTTTGCATAACAAATTACTTAAGATAAATATGTTTGCATTCAAAGTGTTATGTTTCATTACTGTCTGTTGGTTTTGACTCTCAAACTAACACATGTTTATGATTTTTACCTCATGTAGATACGTCAATGGAAGCAATGGGAGGAATGGGTTAAGAATCAACCTAAAGTTGAAAAAGGTAGGCATTATCTATTCAAGCGTTCTGTTTTCTTACGTTGGACACATATTAGATCCATCTTTTCTGCAGTGCAGCTCCAGCAAAGGACAGTCATCGCCATGAGTTCATCCATCAACATGCAGGTCGGTATTGGAGGAGGTCAGCTGTAATTAGTTGGATGGTAAGGCTCACAATTTTTTTATTTTTATTTATTTATTTATTTATTTTGTACATTGGGAATTTGGGGGATGGGGATATATATTCAAGGCGTTGGTGGGAGTCAAACTCCTGACCAACTAAACCCAAACACTTAGAGTTTGGGACGAACCATTGGACCTGAAGGCTTGATTCATTTTTGAAGTGTATTAAAGTAACATATAGCCAACTGAATGCATCAAGTCCTCATACGTGCCTATCTAAATTAATTGTTGTGCATCAAGTCGTCATACGTGCCTATCTAAATTAATCGTTGCAAAAAGTTGCAAGAATTTCTGCTTTTTACAAGTTGTTCAGTAATATCAGTTTGCAAAAGATCCTGTCATGTGGTCATTCATTCTCTTATTTTCAAATCTATCTTTCGATGAGAATACATGATTTTACATATCAGTAAGAATTAGTTGAGATGTTTCCCTAGTGTAATGGCTTGACCTTAACATGATATCACCTGGATCTCCTTTTTCTTTTTCTTTTTTAATTTTTTTACAGATATCGTTTTGCAAACAATTTCATATTTCTGTGACTAAGTCAGACTACATAGCACTTCGAGAGGGATTTATAATGGTTAAGTACCAAGAAACAACTATGTTATTTATTTATGCTGTTTGTGCAGTAATTTTATAAAAATTCTAGGTGCTTACCTTTTTTCCCCACCATCTAGACCCACATCCCTTCCACCCATGAATTTGACTTTCACGACTACATGACGCGAACACTTGAAGTGGATTTCAAAAATGTTGTCGGCATAAGGTAATTGTTCTTGATAGATCTACCATTATCTCCGTCTGTAGTCTGCACTTTATTTGAGATGTGTTTGAATTTTAATACTCATACATATAGCCCACTAATAATATATATTCAAACACACAGCTGGTACCTGTGGCTATTTGTAGTGGTGTTTTTGCTGCTAAATGTGGAAGGTATATATTATTTTGCCTTAGACAACACGAGTTAAGAAATTACTAAACTGATTTTCTAATCGTAGATATAGATGGGGAATTCTAATTAATTATTGTGTTCATGGATTGGATTCGAAATGCACAGCGCAGGATGGCATACTTATTTTTGGATGTCATTTCTACCTTTACTTGTAAGTGAATCATCAGCTTCATTTCATTTCATCTGTAGCTGGAAACTCATCCTTGTAGTTAGTTTAGTTATTTGAGGAATGAGACAAGCTCACGAGTTTTATATAACACGGTTGGTGATAGCTTCTACTTCTTGTGGGGGCCAAGTTAGAGCATATAATAACTCGCTTAGCACAGGAGATTGTCGAGAAGAAGAAGCAAGACCAAGAAGCAGCACGAGTGAACCCTTCGGATGAACACTTTTGGTTCCATCGGCCTCGAATTGTGCTTGACTTAATTCACTTTATTCTATTTCAAAATGCATTTGAGATGGCATTCTTCTGCTGGATCTTGGTATGTCAGACTCACCATGCAGTTATGTTATGCTTGACAAGATATCCATCCATCCCATAAATGTTTTTCAACTGCTAGTTCTAACTGCTTAATTTTCTCTTCATTTATTCATAGTTTTCCTATGGGTTCCATTCATGCATCATTGAAAAAATATACTACATCATCCCAAGAGTTATTGTTGGGTAATTCTCTCTCACACACATACTCTTTTATCTCAATTTTATCATATCCTCAACTTCTTTTAGAAAGTTTATCCTTCTCATTGCTTCGATCTGCAGCATAGTTGTTCAATTTCTCAGCAGCTACAGCACCTTGCCTCTGTATGCTCTTGTCACACAGGTAAACGTCTACGTTCATAGCTACATTTATGTTGAGGCTATTAATTTGTTCATAGTTGAGATGCTCACGCATTCCCATTTCTCTTTTTGTTTAAAGATGGGAAACAAATATAAGAGAGGCATGTTTGGAGAGGACGTGGAAGAACATCATGAGAAAAGAGGTGAAGCAAGCACGAGCAACTCCACTGAAAGTAGGATGACAGAAGAGTGTGATCAAATTGAGGAGCAAGAAATGGTTGTTATTGAAGAAAGCAAAAATTCAGCAATCCAAAACCATACATCATCAGCTTGAATTACGATCAAGCAAATAATAAGCTTCCGTGAAGTCAGTTAATTTAATCGACTCTGTTTCATATAGTAGTAACATCTGGCTACTTAAGCTCATAATCGTTTTCATTTGTTCTGTTCAATGAATGTGTTAAACTGTTTTAATATGAAATGTCATTACCTCCCCTCACCCTGAATTTCTCGCCGTTTCTCTTGTTTCTTGCATTCCCCTATCCGCCGCCCCGTTGCCCTCCCCCTTGGCAGTCATGGTGCATGATTAAAAGTGGAAGTTTTCTCCTCTTTTGTAGTAGTTTCTTCCTTCCTTCTAAGAGTCCTTGCCTTTATTTTCTTAATATTTTTTTTATTAAGATTTACTATTGTTGTATTTGTTGACTAGTTGTTTGTGTCTCTCATAAATTTCTTGGGTCTTATGCTGCTTAGCATTTTTGTCAATCTCTCCCACCTGGGAAGGCAGGAGCTTGATAACTATCTCGTTACTAACTATAAACCCATTTTTCCTCCTATAATGGTTTTTATTTTTTATTTTTGGGTACACATATGATGGCCTCCAATTAATTAGAAAAATCTCAAGCTCTAATTAAAATATTTTATTATTAAAATGATTAAGATATTTAATAATAATTATATGATAAATTTAATAAAATTAAGATTGATATTATATTTTACATATTTAATAATTAAGATTATATATTTTAATATTTTTAATATTGACATAATTTTTTTAAAATATAATAAAATTTTAAAATATTATAATTTAATTGATCAAATAATTTTTTTATCTCCTTTCTTTTCCTCAATGTAAATATATTATAAATGAAATGAAGTGATTTAATTTTAAAATTTTAATTTTTTAATAAAAATTGAGATATATATTATTTGTATATAAAAAAAAATAAACATATATACATATTACTTTTAAACTTTTTATATAAAAAATTAAAAATTATAGTTATTTTGAGATTTTCATCCTCTCCTCATCAATTTGGGTCAAATAGTGGGGAAACTTCTAGTTCCTCCACCAGGCATCCACCCCAAGGATTTTCCGTGACCCAACAATTGCCTGGTTCACTTCTGAAGGGAAGTGGATGATTGTTATAGGGTCGAAAATTAATAAAAACTGGGCAGAGAGTGCAGTCCCCTTTACTTGATTTCAGAATAGTGGAGGTTAGCCCCTCTACTATACAGAATCATGTGGTCAAGACCCATCCATCTAGGGCTGGGCACGCATTCTGGCTGCTGATCGATTGCTCAACAACTACACCAAAATTGGGCTTACGATGCGGGCATAAACTGGCTTCAGGTTTAAGGAGATGGTCTCAGGCCTTAATTGTTTATAATCGGTGTGGTGTTTGATTCCAAACCCAATGACCAAACAACTGAATAATAAACCTGAAACCTCGTATTATTTTTCAAGAAAATATAAAATATATACCTCTAAAAGACAAACCCTAATTTCATTCTTTCCCTCCCCTGGAAATTTTCATCTACCGCCTTCCACCAAAATCTTCCCCCCCATCCCCAATTTAGAAATTTTCAACCATTCCCTCTAATTTTCTAATGGAGTACTCATCTTTTAGGCCTTTAATCTCTCATATTTCCTTCTCACTTCCTCTCTTCATTCGCTCCCTTTCACAATCGGCCAATATCTCATCCTCTCTTTATTGTAAACTCTTTATTGTAAACTCTCACCAAAATCTTCCCCCCAACCCCAATTTAGAAATTTTCAACCATTGATCTCTACCACTTAACCCAGGTGGAGCCTCCAGCCCAGCACCAGTTGGTTCCTTTTTATATCCTTCTCTCTCCTCTAGACTGTATGGTTATCCTTAAGGCCTTTTAGGGTCCTGATGCTGTTCGTGAGACGACCATTCTGTATAAGCTCAAGCTTGAAGAGATTGTGACTACTATTCCCACAATTGGTATGTTCTCTACCTGTCATTACAAATAATACATTTATTTGTTTATATGTTGTTTGATCACTAATGATCTTTCTGTTTTGCCTTCTTTTACAGAGTTTAATGTGGAGACTCTGGAGTATAAGAACATTAGCTTCACCATTTTGGATTTTCTTTATTGTTTCGGCCCAGGTTCACTTCTTTTGCTAGTAATTCATGCTGATTAATCTTCTTTTGATTTAATTTTGTGAGTTCAT